GCGTAGGAAGCCTATCTCCAAGCCCAATCGATTTCACTTGAAGACTGACACAGGCTCATCCCAACCCACCCCTCCTCCCATCCCAAATGAGCTTTCGAACCAGCGCGACAGTGGCATCACTAACAAGAAACCCATATATGATCTGTACACGCACGATTATGAAACATTCGAAAACAATTGTTCATCTTCGGACTTGTATTCTCAGGTTACAATGGATTTATTCTGGAATCTGGTACTCATTTAGCTTCATACTATTCTCCCGACAACCATCTACCGATGCCCCAAGGATATTCAGTTGATAGCATTCTTCAGACAGTAAAGGTGAGCTAGTCTGCCTGAATTTGTCACCACATAAACAGTAGTTTTGACACAGGNNNTGACACAGGTTTATTCTCAGAACTGTGGATGTACATGAACCCCGAGAGATGATGTCCGTGGCTTTCGTTAGATATCAAATCCTGGGAATGGGGTGGGAGATTTCCGTGGTGGTTGGAATAACAAAACTACTATTGACAGAAAACTTACTCTCAAAATTATCCGTTGTATTTATGCTGTCTTCATCTGAAGTACAATCGATAGATGGAATGAGGTTAGCGGAAACGAAATGAATGTTTCTTCTAAGACGAACTAATGAGACACAATTACTAGCGAACAAACTGTTTGCAGAATAAGCAAAAATTCTTTTGAATGGACGCTGCCAGATGACCTCGAAAATCGACTTCAAGCGATTCAGTCAACAAACAATAACAAAAGAACTGAAAAAATGTACGACATGGCTACGATCAAATTCGAGCGTGGAACAAAAAGGGTATCATCAATGTGAAGCCATGCATTACAAAATAGGAATTGTTCAAAGACTCATATGATATTTGTAAACGTTGCTGACTATATAAAAACTAATATTCTTAACGCCCAAAGGAGTTGAGCAATTGCTATTAAAAATTGTATTTATGGGACAACATGTTAGGCGAGACGATGTTATCTACTTTAGTCCATCCAGCAGTAGCCCCGTTCGAGGTGTATATTTCACTACACAGTTAGTTAATATTTGATTACAGCTTTTATTCCTTATTTTCTCAAGTTCTCATGATATAAACCACCGGCTGCTCAGACAAAATCAGGACGAGGAACATTTTCTCTCTCACAGTAGCGAGCAAAATTTACCCGAATTTCAAACATTTGGCAAGCTCCTCAGAACAAACGAAACACAATGACTGAAGCGGCATAACACAAAAACGCAGCATAATTAACTCCGCTTTGAAATAGTTAAAAACGATGCGAAAACCTGTTCTACACAAGGCAAACGCATAAAACCAATTGTTGCTTGTCGATTGCGCTATGCTTACTTACCCTTGAAAACAGAGAATTACAACAACACCAAACAGGGGCAAGAGTGTGAGTAACAATTCAATCAGACCTGTTCCATCACCGAACGCAAAATATGCAACGCATACATCTATCTCCCTCACTCTATCAGTCGTAATCTCACTGCAATGTATGTGATCCCTGATGCATGTCCGAGTTATGAAGCGGATATGAAAGGAACAGCATTGACCAACTCACCATCCTCAGGTGGAATAACACACTCGTAATCTGAAATTCGATGGAAGTAGAACAAAAGTGTGGTTAAGGAAAAGAAACGATAAAGCGATTGATTGAGAACGTCTCGCGTGAAAACAGACTGGCACACCCACGGACACATGCGCACACATTAGAAACAATCGCTGTCTCGCTTCGCAACATCACACTTCATACATGGAGGTCAACGGTTCTACTCTGATGTCTGTCTGTCTGTGTGTGTGTGTGTGTGTATCTGATACATCTACGGCGGCAACGTTTACCGTCGTCCGATGGTGAGATGACGCATTCGTAGTCTCCAACGCTTGAACGGAAAAATACGAAAGCATTCATGAGACGTTTTTATTCCAACCCAGTGGGATTAGATATGTGATCTTTGCAAATGACACTTCTCAGTGGTGGAAAATGTTCATCAAACGACAAGCGATTTACTTGGAAGTCATATCGAACAATGTCAGAGAGAGTTATTGAATGAAAATGAACAAGACAATCTCTTGTTTACTACGATGTACTACATTGGACGATGTTGCTGTTGCGGATACTTGTGGCAAGACAACATTTAGGTTTTACTAGTCCAATGCATCTTCATTAGGGCTGTAAACATTTGAATCTGGCTGATGAATGTAATCATATGAAAATAGGATGAAGAGTGGGATGTGAATCGCAAATCTGTTTAAAATAAGCGAGTGGTCTTCTACTACACAACCGATGCAAAATTCAGTTGATTTGAGAAAGTCTCGTGGAATGAATGAACTGCGCACTAATGCATTGGCCATGATCGAACGTGATATGGGGATCAATCACCGGAGTCTGCCAGATGAGGTGCACATTCCTCGCTACGACGACAGAGCATGCTTCATACCGTACGAAGGAATACTCAAATTGATTATCGGAAGGCATTGTGATTCCGTATAGATGAACAACACTGAACAGTATTCATGGTTTCTCGTGTAACTATGTAAGAGAGGGTGCTAGGAAGGACTTACCATCATCTGTTGGTGGAATAACGCATTCGTAGTCTGCAATGGTCGAATGGACAAATACAAAATATTCATTAGACGTTTTCCATCCGATCACGTAAAGCAATTCAGCAATGGACCTGGCACTTTTTAGTGATGATAAACAGTAACCAAACGAGGAACTATTTCCTTTTCAGTCATACGGAACAATGTGAGCGAGATTCGTAGAATAGAAAGAAACAGGACAAGCAGTTGTTCTCCAAGCTGCATCGCATGCGAGGATACTGTTGTTAGGTGTATTTTTGGCAAGATAAAATCTCTGCTTTGTTAGCTTGATGGATATTTATATAATGTGTTTTACCGGATGGGCCAATTTGATTAATTCTAATGGAGAGAAGTAGTC